TTGAACCACCAGCCGTCTGGTTAGCAGGCAAGTGTCTTAGGCACTATGCTACCAGAGCTCCCCCTGTTCCTAACAGTCCCTCCCAATTACCATAAACCTATAAATGTGTCAGCCATGCTGCTCAACACTTACTATGTTAAAGCAGCTTCCAGGTGAACACCTTCCATGTCATGAGCACGCACGGGAGCTCCATTTATTTTACCAATAAACTCGCTCCTTGCTATCAAGTTGATTCTAACTCATAATGACCCCCATTGGGTTTCCAAGGCTGCAAATCTTTACAGAAGGACCCACCTCATCTTTCTTCCACAGAGAGGCTGGTGGGCTTAGAACCACCAAACTTTTGGTTAGCAGCCAAATGCCTTGAACCACTACACCACCAGAGCTTCTTATTTTACCAATAGTAATGGCAATTATTGAATGCTGACTACATGCTAAACCCCTGTGTCCTTGGTGATTTCATTTGTTTTGCTATGTTTTTAAGTTCTGACTGCATGCAAGGCACTGTGCTTGTTGATTTCACTTGTTATTACCCTAGTAGGTGCTGTTAGTCCTTGAGCACCTACTGTACACAAGGCATTATGCTTAGTGAGTTTATTCATTATGCAAAAAGTTTATCTATTGTTTGAGCACCTGCTGCATTCTCCCAGTGGTATCCTTGCCATGGTAGTGGGAGCTAAACTTTATCTAGCCCCCTCTCTGTGCTCCATCTGTTCCATAAGGTCAGAGTTTATGTTCTCTGTTGTTTCAGTTCCACCCACCTTGGAGTTAACCCGTTTCCCCGTTGAAGGGAACCAGGTGAACATCACCTGCCAAGTGAAGAAGTTCTACCCCAAGAGTCTACAGCTGACCTGGTTAGAGAATGGAAGTGTGTCCCAGATAGATTCAGCCTTGATCCCCATCGAGGACAGAGATGGGACCTATAGCCTGAAGAGCTGGACCCTGGTGAACTCATCTGCCTACAAGGAGGATATGCTCACCTGCCAGGTGGTGCATGATGGGCAACCAGCAGTCAGCATAAACAAGGCCCAGAAAGTCACTACCCCCTTGAAGGACCAGGGCACAGAGTCAACTTCTGGTGAGGCCTCCACTCCACCCCACCTGGCTTTTTTAATAATTGTATCTTAATTTTGTCTTTATTGTTTTAACATTAAAATAGTCACTCATGCTGTTGTTAGGTGCCACTGACTTGATTTCTACTCATAGCGACCCTATGTGATGGAATAGAACTGCCCCCATGTTATTTTCTAGACAGTAAACTTTCCAGGAGCTGATCACCAGCTTTTTCTGCTGCAGAACCTCTGAATGGGTTCAAACTGCCCACCTTTCAGTTAACAGCCAAGGCTTCACTTCTGTGTAACCAGGACTCATTCATTCATGTTTATTATAGAGTAATCTAAGTCAGTTCCATATCATAGTGACACCATGTAAAACAAAATGAAATACTGCGCAGTCTTACACCATTCTAACAATCGTTGCTATGTTTGAGCCCATTTTGCAGCCACTGTGTCAATCCATCTTCCTCTTTTTTGCTGCCCCTCTACTATACCAACCATGATGTCTTTCCCCAGGGACTGGTCCCTCCTGATAACATGACTAAAGTATATGAGATGAAGTCATGTCATCCTTGCTTCTAAGAAACATTCCAGCTATATGTTGTCCAAGATAGATTTGTTCATCTTCTAGTAGTCCATAGTATGTTCGGTATTCTTTGCCAATACCATAATTCAAAGGCATTAATTCTTCTTGGGTCTTTCTTATTCATTGTCTAGCTTTCACATACATATGAGATGATTGAAAATATCATGACTTGGATCAGGCCCACCAAAGTCTTGAAAGTGGCATCTTTGGTCTTTAACACTTTCAGGAGGTCCTTTGTAGTAGATTTGCCCAATGCAATATGTCATTTGATTTTTTGACTTCTGCTTCCATGACACTGATTTTGGATCCAAGTAAAATGAAATCCTTAACAACTTCAGTCTTTTCTCTGTTTATCATGATGTTGCTTATTGACCCAATTGTAAGGATTTTCATTTTCTTTATGTTCAATTATTTTGTTGAAAAAAAAATGATATTGTTCAACAATTTCTTCATTCTGTTGGATCACCTTTCTTTGGCATGGGCACAAATATTGATCTCTTCCAGTCTGTGGGCCATGTAGTCCTCTTCCAAATTTCTTGGCATATACAGGAGAGAGTTTCCAGCGTTTTATCTGTTTGTTGAAACACCTCAATTGGTATTCTGTCAGCTCCTGTAGGCTTGTTTTTCACCAATGTCTTCATGCAGCTTGGACTTCTTCCTCCAATTCCATACATTCTTGATCATGTGCTATTTCCTGGAATGTTTAAATGTTCATTGACCAATTCTTTTTGTTAATCCCTCCTTCTTTTTTTGATCTTCCTGCATCGTTCAATATTTTGCCCAGAGAATCCTTCAACATTGCCACTTGAGGCTTGAATTTATTCTTCAATTATTATGAGAAATGCTGGACTTGCATTCCCTTTTGGTTTTATAACCCTAAGTCTTTGCACATTTCATTATAATACTTTACTTTGTCTTCCTGAGTCACTCTTTGAAACCTGCTGTTCAGATCTTTTACTTCATCATTTCTGCCATTCTCTTTAACTACTCTACATTCAAGAGCAAGTTTCAGAGTTTCTTCTGACACCCATTTGGTAATTTCTTTCTTTCCTGTCTTTTTAATGACTTTTTGCATGTATGCTTTCCTTGATGTCATCCCAAAACTCTTCTGGTCTTTGGTCATTAGTGTTCAATGTATCAAATCCGTTCTGTAGGTGGTCTCTAAATTCAGACGGGATATATTCAGAATCATACTTTGGCTCTTGTGGACTTGTTTTAATTCTTTTCATCTTCAACCTGAACTTGCATATGAGCAACTGATGATCTGTTCTGCAGTCAACCGTTGGCTTTGTTCTGACTGATGATACTGAGCTTCTCCATCATATCTTTCCACAGATACAGTCCATGTAATTTCTGTGTATTCCATCTGGTGAGGTCCATGTGGGTAGCTGCCATTTATGTCTTGAATAAAGATAGTTTCAAGGAATAAGTTGTTAGTCTTGCAATATTCTATCATGCAATCTCCAGCATCATATTTTTTAGCTACTGATACTTCTTCGTTTCCAACTTACACATTACAATCATCAATAATTATCAGCACATCTTGATTGAATATTTGATCAATTTCAGACTGCAAAAATCAGTTAAAATCTTCAATTTCTTCATATTTGGCATTAGTGGTTAGAAAAAATTTGAATAATGGTTTTGTAAACTGGTCTTCCTTGTAGGCATATAGATATTATCTTATCACTGACAGTGTTGTAATTTTGGCTGGATCTTGAAATGTTCTTTTTGGCAATAAATGTAACAACATTCCTCTTCAGTTTGTCATTCCCAGCGTAGTAGACCGTATGGTCGTCTGATTTAAAATGGTCAATAACAGTCCATTTCAGGTCATTAATGCTTTATGAGTTCAATTTCATTTTTAATAACTTGCAATTTTCCTAGACTCATATTTTGTACATTACACGTTCCAATTACTAATGGAGTTTTGCAGCTATTTCTTCTCATTTTTAGTTGAGCCACATCAGCACATAAAGGTCCCAAAATCTTTACTCCTTCCACATCATTAAGGTCGATTCCACTTTGAGGAGGTGGTTCTTCCCCAGGCATATTTTGAGCACTTTCCAACCTAAGAGGCTCATCTTCCGGTGCTTTATCAGACGAGATTCCACTGCTATTTACAAGATTTTCACTGGCCAATTTTTTCAGAAGTAGATCTCCAGGTCTTCCTTCCCAGTCAGGAAGCTCCACTAAAACCTTTCCCCCAAGAGTGACTCTGCTAGTATTTGAAATATCAGTAACATACCTTCCAACATCACAGCATCATGCAAACCACCACATTACGACAAACTGACAGACAAGGACTGGACTGAGTGGAAAAGACAGATTAGTAGAACTTACCTAACCTGGAAAACAAAGAGGAAAAGATTAAAAACAAGGAACATATGTAGCTGTGGGAAAGTAAGAGGAGAGAAAAACTGGGGCACAAAACTTATTTGAAGAAATAGTGGCTGCAAATTTCTCAAATTTAGCAAATGAAATTAATGTATAAATTCAAGAAGTTCAGTGAACTCCAGCACACTTTAGGTACAACATAATCAAACTTCTGAAAAAGAGAGGTGAGAAGAATATCTGTAAGCAACCACACACACAAGCACATGACATAGATGAGAACAATACAAGGGACACATGACTTCTCATTGGAAAAAGAGGGCACAAGACAATGTCAGAGCAACATTAAAGTGCTGAAGGAAAAAATAATTCTAAATATAGAACACTATATCCAATTAAAATATAATGAAGGCAAATAAAGATTTCTTTTTTGAAAAATGGAAACATAAAATTTATAATGTGCACTACCAAAGTAAAAAAAAAAAAAAAACCTCACTGCTGGCAAGTCAAATCCAACTCACACCGACCCCTCCTTGGATTTCCGAGGTGGTATCTCTACGGAAGTAGATTGCCCAGTCTTCCTTCCAAGGAGTGGCTGGTGGGTTTGAACCACCAGCCTTCTGGTTAGCGGTCAAATCCCTTAGGCACTACGCCACCAGAACTTCACACTACCAGAAATACTAATAAATTAGGACTGAGAAAAATACATATTCCAGTTTATCTATGATCTTCTTACCTGCTTCAACCACCCTGTTAGTCTGGAGCTTTATAGATAAGAAACATGAAATCAGGGAGTAATATGGGATATTGTTGAAGATGTCTTGCCATTTGCATTAGACCAGGTGATAAATCAGAGTAAATTGGAATCCCTGAATCCAGCCTACCGAGCAAAGAGTGCCAATTAGGACAAAGTTCCATCTATGGCTGATCTTCATCCCAAAGACAAACAGTTGGAAGCAGATTGTGCACTGAAATTTAGTGATTTTTCTCTTTTTACTCAGTTACTTTGCAATTTTGGCATTCTCTCAAGCAGTTCTGAGACCCTTGTTTTCGTACACAATGTACTTTTCCTTTCTTGTTTTGTCTTAAGGTTTGTGAAGGATGCATTTGGAGATAAAACAGCTACACTGCCACCATTGCCTTTAGTCATTTGGAAATCACTTGAAGATTTTCGAGTGCATTGGCCCATATGTTCCTCCTTGCATTTCAGAGTCTCAAGCCAACTAAAACCACACTAGGTGCTGGGGCCAACGCTGTGTCATGGCAGCCCTATGTGTTGCAGACTAGGCCTGTGCTCCGTAGGGTTTTCATGGCTGTGACCTCCTGGAAGGAGATCACCAGGACTTTCTTCTGAGGTGCCTCAGAGTGGACTCAACCCACCAACCTTTCAATTCATAGCATAATGCTTAAGCATCTGTGACCCTCAGGGACTCCTCTCAGGGTCCCACTACCTCCTGAGCAGGATCCTATCCTTAGTGTAGCAGGCCCACTGAAGCTGAAAATAAATACAACCTCCTCTATAACTCTGCTACTCTTATAATTCTGCCCTGGGCCCAATCCTTAAGATTTTCTGCTTTCTAGTTCTGGGAGATAAGAATCTGCTATGCTGCCAAGAAGTCTCTATCTTTCATACTTTGCCTTGATCAATCACTCTAAGCTTTTCATTGTCTTTCTCCAAAGGATTGATGCCTCCAGCTACAGCCATCCAAGTCCATAGTCCTTATACTTACCATTTCCCAACTAGTCTTCAAATGCCTAATATTGGAGTCTTTGCTCTGGCATATACCATCCCAGTTCACTACTGATGAAATTTTCAACAATTTCACCCACCCGGGCTCCTCTTACTATCAATGATAGAGTCTTCATTTCCAGCCAGCTAATGAATTTTATTAATTTCCTAGGACTACAGTAACAAAATCCTACAAACTAGTTGGTTTACAACAATAGAAATTTATTCTATCATGATTCTGGAGTTTAGTAGTCAGAAATCAAAGTGTTGGTGGGACCATGGTCCCTCTAAAATCTCTAGGGAAGAATCCTTCCTTGCCTCCTCTTAACTTCTTAGTGGTTGCCAGCAATCCTTGGTGTTCCTTGGATTATAGTTGCATCACTCCTATCTCTGCCTTCATCATCAAACAGCTTTCTGAGTGTCTGCATCTCTGAACCTCTCTCTCCTTTTAAGGACACCATTATTGGATTTAGGGCCCACTCCAGTCCATTATGACCTCATCTTAACTTGACTGCATCTGCAAAGACTCAATTTTCAAACAAGATCACATTCTCAAGTACTGGAGGTTCAGACTTCGACATATATTTTGAGAGGGACATAATTTATCCAGTTCCAGATTTGTATTGTAGGATCTGCTTTCCAGACCACTCCCAGACCAGTTCTGATAGGTCAGTTTCTCTGGGAAACATACTCCAAAATAGATATAAGAATGCAGGAAGCTTACTGGGGAGTACCATCAAGATCAATATACATGAGAGGGTAAGAGAAGCAGAATTGAGGGTGGAGGACATTGAACTTCATTTGAAACAAAATTTCAGTTGAACCACAAAAGATTTGATCACTTCTACACAGGGCTGGAGAGCTAGGATGGTCTTTTGGAATTGTTTCAAATTGAGAAGATGGGACTGAGACTGTACCCCCCAATTCAGACAGTTCTTGGATTCAGTTGCCCCCTAGAAGGAGGTGTGATCTTGGGCAATGCAGCTCTCTTCAATTGAAAGTTCCAGAGAGTGACTCAGGTGAGACTTGAGGCCTCCAACACCCCAGCAGCAACAAATGTGGAAGTCTCCACTCCTTCCTCAGGGATGAACCACCATTGTCTTCTTTATTTAAAAAATGATTTTACTATCTCTGCTTTTTAAATTTTAAAAGCAAAAACTGGTCATTATAAAAATACAATGAATCCAAAAGTATGTTTCCTCAGATCCAACTTTGTATAAGAAGAGCTCAGGTGGCATTTACTCTGGAGCCAGGTGGACTAGATCATTTTTGAGTCCCCTCCCAAGCATGAGCCTCCATATCTTTGACTTACCAAGGTACTTCTGGCCAGCAGGACTCATCAGATCAGCCTACCCTGAGGATTCATTGGGCAGGGTCCTTCCCATGACCTTGAGAGGTTGGATTTGTCTTGGCTCCAAAACAGGGTCATGAGGGCCATCCCAAAGGCCCACAGTGATGGACTTGCCTACAATTGAATCCCATTAATCTTCTGACCCTCCCTAAGCTCTCTGAACCTCAGTTTCTTCATGAGAAACAGGATAATAGTACCCACCCACAGGGTTGTGAGGTCGCTATGAGTCGGGGCCGACTCGATGGCACATAACAACAACAACAGGGTTGTGAAGATTAAGTAAATTAGGTGTCACACTTTTATGCCTCTGAGTAAATGCTCTTCCCCACCTCTTCCCTCAAGAGGGACTGTCCTGGCCCCTGAGAAGGTAAGTGAGACTGAGGACAGGCAGGGCATGGCTTCTAAGGCTTCAGAGCATCTTTGGGCACAGGAAGCTTCAGAGTGAGTAAGGGGTTGCCCCGGGCTTGGACTCCTGTTTGCCTCCTCTAACGACTACTCCTGCCTGTTGACTTCCAGGCCTGGAGCTGTGGACTCCCCTCCTCCTTTTTGGAGGTCTCCTCTTAGGCCTCAAGGTGCTGCTGGTGGTTGGTGTTTCTGTCATCTATGTCTACAGGAAGCAGAGGGCCTGACTGTAAGTTGTGGGAGAAGCTTTGGCTTCAGGGAGGGAGGGCAGGTGAACATCTGTCTCCAGAGGGGCAAAGTCAGCAGGGACAGCAAGCCCAAGAGGTCCCACCTGTCACACAGTGTCAAGACACATCTTGAGTTAACAGAAGAGACCAAGTTCCTCCACTCCCCTCAGGAGCCTCATGGACTCCTCAAAGAAGTTCTCAGCTCTCAGGAAGCATGTGGGGTTTACGGGTGGTGGGTTAGGTCAAGGGTTCTGAAAGGGGATTCTTAGAGTCCTAGAGGTTCCATAGAAGAAATGGCAGAAGGGAGTTAAGTGAGGGACAAATGAGTGGGCAGTTCCCTTGCATACCATCTCCAGATTATTTAAACCCTAGGGCTCCATGGGGGCAAAAGGCATCCACATTTTAGAGTAATGTTGAGAACCGCCAGACTTGCTGCTATGAGTGCTGTCCTGCTGACACTTCATCTGAATGAGTGGCTGTAACTTAGGAAGGGGAGTCAGAACTCAGGAGAAAGATTAAATTGGCAGCAGTCCTATCCCCAGGGCTTCCTATCACCTCACAACTATCATTCCAGGAGGAGAGCAGTCTGGGGGACAGAGGCACTCAGAAAACATTTCTTGATAATGAGCAGACAATTAAATGTGGATGTGTTTCCCACCAACTCCCTCCTTCCTCCCCTGATGGCCCAGCCTGAGAGAAGGTTCCAGATGGAAGTCCCCACAGACTCTGCTCCATGTGCCTCCCTGCTCTGGACACCTGCCTGGACACACCCTCCTGCTACTCATTCTCACAGTCCTTGGTGTCCCCAAGGCCAGGTCTTGGGAACTAGTTCTGAGGACTGATTCCCTCCTTCCCTAAAATATGAGAAAAGTTCAAGTGTCCAAAACATATCAAGATACAGCTCATCTATTACTGTGCAACTCGGCCATAAACCACATACTTATGTCTGTGTTCACAAGAATTCTTCTCATTCATGGATTTATGCCCATACCTAGCTTCCTGAACATAAATGAATCACTATGCCTGTTTGTTGGGGCAATCTACTTCTGTAGTGATACTGCCTCGGAAACCCAAGGAGGGGTCACTATGAGTCGGGTCCGACTCGACGGCACATAACAACAACAACAACAATGCCTGTTTGTAAGGCATCTGGCTGCTAACCAGAAGATCAGCAGTTCAAACCCACCAACTGCTCCACCAGAGGGAGATAAGGCAATCTACTTCTGTAAAGATTTATGTTGTTGTTGTTGTTGTTATGTGCCCTCAAGTCAGATAGCTGGGAGTCACTATGTGTCACAATTGACTTGGCAGTGGGTTTTAATCTCTGTTTGAAAAAGAAAAATTATTTTCCTCTCTCTGCTTACCCAAGCATCCTACTCTTCAAACCCAGAAGTTTTTCCTCCCCTCTCTGTGATAGGACCACTAGTTCTCATATCATCTTGCATCCTCCCTACCCCATTGCTCATGCAAGTGATGTCACCATCCAAAAGCTTTATATACCCCACATTCAATTCTACCTTCAAAATACTTATATGTGTGGTAGACTTACAAATGTTCATCAATTAACTGTCCAAAAGAGGGGAAAAAAATTTTTTAAAAAAGCCTGATGGATAGCATTTGCCAGTTTCTGTGGTGTAAATATTGCCACCATGGCCAACTTCAAGCTACTTACAGTTAGCAGCCAGATTTTAAAATTCTTGAAAATTTAAGAATCAGCTTTCATATCCATCATCTGTACACCTTACCTCCACTACAATACCCTGGTCCCAGACACCATCATCTCTTCCTGGATCATTGCTACCCTCTAACTGGCTTTTCTGTTTCAAGTTTTGCTTCTGAAGAAGCCAGAATGATTCTTTGGGAAGATGAGTCAGATCATATCATTCCTCTGCTTCTCTGATGTATCTGCCTGGCTCCCTCCCTCTCTTCTTTCAAGTTTCTGCTTAAATGTCACTTTATTGAAGACTTCTTCTGCAAGCCACCCTATATAAAATATCTTACCCACTCTCACCCAACAGTTCAGTTCCTCTTAACATGATTAATTTTTTCATAGCATTGTTACTATCTCATACACTAAATATGAGCTGCCTACAATTACATAGGAGCTCTGGTAGCGTAGTGCCTAAGGCACTTGACTGCTAACCAGAAGGCTGGTGGTTCAAACCCACCAGCCACTCCTCGGAAGGAAGGTTGGGCAATCTCCTTCCGTAGTGATTGTTGTTGTTGTTATTTGCCATCGAGTCAGAACTGACTCCTTGGCTTTCTGAGGCAGTATCACTATGGAAGTAGATTGCCTCATCTTCCAAGGAGTGGCTGGTGGGTTTGAACCACCAGCCTTCTGGTTAGCAGTCAAGTGCCTTAGGCACTACGCTACCAGAGCTCCTCGGAAACCCAAGGAGGGGTTGCTATGAGTCAGATCTGACTCAAAGGCACATAACAACAACGATAACACATTGCATGGTAGGTGTGGGATTATAAAAAGGACCATGCAAATTCAACTCATAGAATTTGATCTTAATCACTGGCAAAAATAATGATTGCTCAATGACCTTTAATTTTTTTTTTCAAAACATTAAAAACCTTCTTACTATCAGTTATAAATGCATAGAAAAACCAAACTCAAAGCCATTGCCATCAAGTAGATTCTGACTCATGGTGACCCCATGTGTTACAGAGTGCAGCTGCTTCATCGAGTTTCCTTGACTGTAACATTAACAGAAGTGGTTCACCAGGTCTTTCTTCCACAGAGGTACTGGGTGAGTGCCAACAGCCAACCTTAAAGTTAGCAACCAAACAAAAACCACATACCCATCCAGATACAGAAAAATGGGGGGAAAAAAAGTGAAAAGAATATTTATTCAGTACACTGTAATTTTAAACATTAGAAACATTAGGAATTAAAGCATTTTATTTCTTGGTAAAAATTTACCAAAAATAGTTTCAACAATGCTTACTTTCTTCTCTTTGTATAATTTCCGATAGAGAGCAAGCATCTTGTCCATTCCTTGGCAAGTTATCATACTCCTGTCAAATTTGGATCAGTTTCCAACAGTTTATCCTTTGCACTTCTAGTGCTGTAAAATCTTTCTAAGAGTTCCTTTAATGTGCAGTCTTTTGCTGTTATCATTACCTCTGGGACATCATCATCTGTTTCATCACTACCGCTCTCCTCATGTATGTTGATAAGTTTGCCTTCAGTGAGGCCCTATGGCTGCACATCTAGAGTCTATCCAACAGCGGTGTCAACATTTCCATGGTCAACTATTTCTTCTATAATTTCTTGTATGCTTGATTTGAATTTCACTTCTAATACTATCACTTTTCCTTTCTTCATTTGCCTCATTCTTTGTTGTCCAATCCTCTCTTCCAATCATTTGTTTTTGGTAAATTATCATGTGAGTTCATCACTGAGAGGTAAGGAGGTAACAGATTTCCATGCTTTACTGCCTGTGCATAAACTGAGTAAGATTCACAAGTCGATCATGAACAGACTTTGAAAAAAGTGGCGTGACTGATCACTGTTCACGATGAGCATCTGTTATATATGTAGTGATTGGTGGACTGAAGTGCCAGCAATGAAGCTCATACTTTATGCAACTACTCACAGTTAATTTGTCCTGTAACTGAATTGAAGTAGAAATTTGAAACCATGTTGTTTGGAGACTGGTGTTACTTAACTAAACTCTGCTCCTCGGACTTCATGCATATCGGCACCATGTAAAGGAAGAACTTCTTGTGTTTGTTTCTGTCTTCTTCAAATAGAATGTAAGCTCTAACAGGGAAGGGACTATTTGGATCCTCAGTGGCCAACACTGTGACTGTCATGTCATAGGCCATCAGATATTTATTAAATAAATGAATGAATAATACTCCATTCAAGACATTGGTTTGTATTAGACACAGAATTTCAAAATAAAAGTTTTTTCTATTTGATCACCCAACTCTTGCATCCTGAAGCCCTTTCTTTAGAGACTGTTTTCTCTTTTGTGTATTTAAAAAATTCCATCAAAAACTCGATCTCTTTCACAAAGTAAGGAAGTGCTCAAATAATAAAAAAAAGCATTAACAATTATTTATCCTTTGCACATCTAGTTTTGTAAAATCTTTCTAAGAGTTCCTTTAATGTGAAGTTTTTTGCTGTTATCACTACCTCAAGGGACACAAGAACCAAGTGAGAGAGTTCCAAATAGCCAAGACTGGAATGATTAGAGCAACAAAATAGATAAAGCAGTATTGGGTTAGATCCCAAAGTATGTCCATTTGACTACTAATCAGAACGCGGGTGGTTCAAACCCACCAGCCTGTCCTCAGAAGGAAAACTGGGCAATCTACTTTTGTAGAGATACCGCCTTGGAAACCCAAGGAGGGGTAGCTATGAGTCAGATCCGACTTGACGCAGTGAGTTTTTTTAATATAATCAATACCCATGAGTCCATATTGAGATAAATGATTGAATAAGTTAATAAATTGGTGAGAAGAGACAAATATCCCATCCAAGTATCTACAAACATGTATGTATATGCTCCACCATAAAGGAAAAAGAACATATCACCCCACTCCTTAAATGTGGGCTCTGCTTGCCTTCCAATAAATACACAATGGGAGTAATTTTACAATGGATAAGCATGACAAACACTACATTAGCCAGCTTATCCACATAAACAGTTCCAAATTATGGTTATAGTATGCACTGTAAGTATAATGTGATAAAAATAGCACATAGAACAAAATCCAAAATTCAATAATGACCAAAATTACTGGTCAGATGGAGTCTGGTGAGACTCCCAATACTATGGCCATGGAATACATTCTGGGCCTGGAACAAAGCTCACTCCCAGGGGCTGGCTCTCAGCCCAATAGTAAACAAGATGTACACACAGACCACTCAACCCAAGGAGACACACCCACACACTCTATGGAAATGGATCCCTTGGAGCAATCGACCATGGGGCACCAGAGGAGCAACATTTGCATGGAGGAAAGGCAGGACAAACAGGAGT